TTTGCAAAGGTCTATAGTTAAAATCACTATCACTTTTGTTCTCTTGTCTCTGGAGTATCGAACCTATGCTCAAATCTATGAGTGGTGTCGCTTTCCGAAGAGCTGTTATTTCAGGCATCTTATGAAGGGCCTTGAATGCAGGGATACAATTGGAGCGTTCATTCCAATATGTTATATTTGCGAAGAAAAACTAAACTGCGAATTATAGCGAACTTAAATGATCGATTTCTATTGTTCTGTAGCTTCTAGTTCGTGAATGTCTCTAACGGCTGACGTTTTCAGCTGTTCAACAGACTGTGGAGTTATTGGAAGCATTTTTGAATAAGTGTCTCAACATAAAAATGGCCAAATTTACGTCAATTCACTCTGAATATTGCACTTAATATAGCTGCATAAAAGCAAGAATAATAACATTACAATCAAAATCATTAGTTTTGCTCATTTTAAGAAATCGTAAATCACAAATTTCTCAGATAAACCTATCCACACGGCACGCAGATGTTTTTTCTCCTTTATCCGTGGTTGTAATAGATAGTTTTTTATCATTCAATTTAATTCTCAGATACTGTTCAGTAAATCGTGAAGTAAAATCTGTTTGACTTTGAAAATGCATATTTGGTTACGCTAGGAATTATCGTCAACAATATTTTTAACTTCTCGAGCTCGTTCATTACCTCATCTCCTTCATTGAATGGAAAAGTGCCTGATAGAGTCACGTAGATGATCACACCAACAGACCACATGTCTAGCGACTTATTGTATCCTTAAGAAAGAAGAAAACTGTAATACTATCAGAAATGAATAATCATACGAGTCATTACCCTGTCGGAGCAGTACTTCCGGTGGCAGATAAGCAGGTGTTCCCACAATTGTTTTTCGGAATTGTGATTCGGGTATAAATCTAAAGGAAAGCTTGTATTATGGTGAAAAGGTTATAAAATGGGTGAAAAGCAGTACCTGGCATAGCCAAAGTCACAGATTTTTGTTTGCGGGAAGTTTGTGTTCAACTCTGATAGAAGGACATTCTCCGGTTTCAAATCGCAGTGAGCGATACCTTGCTTGTGAAGGTACTTAAGAGCCGAAAGGATCTGCACGAGAAGGAAACGCGTGGCCCGCTCGTCTAAGCGTCCGGCTGCCTGAATTTTCCATTGGTGCATGGAAAAGCATAGGGAGAAATAGCGCAGACCTGGCTAAGGATCAGTTCCAGCATGTCTCCGTTCAGCTTTTCCATAACCACAAATATTTTGTCTTTTGTTTCACACATAAATTCCAGACGAACGATCCCGCTATGATTGACACGTTGAAGTATAGCAACCTGCAAAAAAAAATTGAGGATTCAGGAAAAGTTTATTTTAGAAGAAGAAACACATGAAGTTTTCAATTTCTACAAGCCAGAATTCATGGCATTTATGGTGCTCAAGAAATCCGTACTTTTTACAACTTCAATTTTTAGCTCATAGAATCAATTTTCTCGCCTCAATTTACGAATCAACCTTTGTTAATGATTGAAGAAGGTCATCAAAAAAAGTGTTGAATTGTTTATGAATAAACTTTGCTACCCTTTCTTCACCCCAGTTGCCCGAATTGCTATTCGGCTTGAGGCGCTTTTTACTATTATCAAGCACATCTATTTTATGTAGGTGTTGGATTACAGAGTTTTGCACAATGAACCTAGCCAAATCAACATACACTTTGCCTCGCGAATATTGAAATTGAAACAATTATTACCTCTGCTCGCATCGACTCCACTCCGTTACTCTTCTTTGAAAATCGTTCCTTTGGTATCACCTAGAACAGAAAATGCAATGCACGAAATTACTTTTGCTACAACTTGAGAGGTAATGTTTGAAAGTAAGGGTATTTTTTAAACATTTAGATCAAAAGAGACTCTAGCACACAAATTTCAAGAAATCCTGCAAATTTGCGGATTTTTAGGTTACGGGTTTCCAAGATGCTTTTAACTATGACTTTCTTATGAGGAACGTTACCACCATCAATTCAATAGGTTGAACAGACATTATATAATAACGTTTGAGCAACTATACGTTGCTCTATATAGTCTCCTATTAATCATCATTTCTTATGCTTATTGTGTATTCTCTCAAACATCTGATTTTGTTCACAGCTCATATCATCTATCTCTGACCCATATAATGCATTCAGGTCTGCAATTTCGAATCGTTTGTGACATAGAGTAAGCAAGATATCACGAATAAAGCAGGGCTTCTTATGGATTGTTTACAATAATTCGATTTTTAAGGGCCTACGTATAGTTTAAGTGTTAATTCTGGTCAGATAGCGGCAAGAACTGATCCAACTGCTTATGCCTTGATTGATTGTTAAGATAGCTTTAAAGATTTTGCTGATTGCCAATCTCACAGATTATCTCGACTATATCGCGTTCCTCGCAATCAGTAAATGAAATGGTAGCGAAGAGCACGAACCAATTAATTACAATTGTGGCTCTTCGTGTTTTCATTTCAACTCTCCAACGATCGTAAGAAACAAGCGTTTTAACGTGAACAATTCAAATTTTAATCAGGCATATCAGACGTTTACAAGTGTGAGGAACTCCGATCAATGAACAAGAGGTTTGGCGAGATAATGTTTGGCTTGTCTGAGCTCTTTCAATTACGACTTCTGCTTTAGTTTAGTTTTTCTAACTTGCCTTGTTGGTTTTGCGTTCTTTCTTAGATTTTTTAGCAGTCACCCCTAAAGGTATCGTAAGCCCAATATAATTGCGGAACATAGCGAGTACAAAAACGGGGTGCGAATGCCGTTTTGGAAGAGAATAACTGGTTATGACATATTGTGTAATGGCGTTTTAGATAGTACCAAACTTTTGGTTTAATCAAAAAGCGCGCAATTGCTCTAGATTTTCTGAGCTGATACTATGCTGGTGTTCTCTTAAATCATTCTGCTCTCTCATATAACTTATTTCATGACCTGTGGGACCTGCGATTCTGCGATTCTGGTGGCACCACCCTTTAACGCTGCATTTTCTTACCTTTACAGCAACCTCTGCGCCAGTGTGTCGTTGAATTGCAGTATAAACCGTGCCAAACTGACCCGCCCCAATGACTTTTTCGCTCAATATCTAAAGGATGAGATATAGGGCCTAAAACTACGGAAGGAGTTGATGTCGAATTTAGCAAAATTCTCTAGACCTGATACAACTCCGCAAATTCTAACGCTCGTTCCGTGTTCGGCGTATCAGTTCGACTCGCTGGCGGTTGTAAGGCATCTTTCAGCGCCTGAAAGTGCAAAGAATAGAGGTAACTGCCATTTGCAAGAGAAATAGGGCAGAATACACCTGAAACCACAGCTGAGTGTTTGAAGGAGGCCTGATATTGAGACTTCGTGGAATTTTCTTTGGCGGACCACCAGAATATGCATGAAGATTCTCACCAACAC